TAAGAAAGTATTGTAATAATTGTTGTATATTTTGATACGCATAAATCTTGAAAGAATCTATGAAGAAACACGGAGAAAAATCTTTTAATTAAATGGTTTTAAACGATGAAACACTGATATAATTAGACGCAGGATTAACAAATTTAATTAAATAAAACTCCTAAGGTGTAACTTGCAACGGGGGGTATAGTTAATTAAAAAAAAAATGATGCAAACTCAGAGGTTAATATTATTTTTTCAACAAACAAAAAAAAAAACAAACAAATTCTTTACAATCTTTACTAATTGTAAATTAAATCAAGAAACTTCAACCGCTGTAAAAATAAAATCCAATCAACGTGTTTTTCTACGAACAAATCTATATATATATATATATATATATATATAGATACGTATGATCGTTATTTTTTATAATAATAATAAATAATAAATAAAAAAAAAAGAGAGAGAGAGATTTATATTTAATTCAATATAGTTATATCATGAATGTTGTATAAATAGAAGAATAAAAAAAAAAAAGAGGATTAAATATTTGTTAAGATTATTATAAAATCGTAGAACGATAATGGGTACAAAGATGGAATATCATATTCCACCATATCGATTTCTCTATTATACTATACCTATATATATATATATATATATATATATATATATACATCTTATTCTATCATTTTCTCAGAGAGAGGAGAGGTGGTCCCTTTGTAATGTACAACGAAGTAGAAACGAGATGGGCCTGGATCTTACAAATGACTCTATAAATTATTCATCCTTGAGAATACTCTCCAAAGTTCTGGATTTTATCCCAAAAACTATGTTTGTATATGTGCATGTGAGTAAGTGGGCGTACATGTGTCTTTTCTTTTTTGGGGAAGGGGGGGAGGAAATTCAACTCTGATCCAAAAATGTATATGCACTTATTTCTTTTTTAAAATAAAAAAAAATAAAAACTTGTCTCTCTCCTTTTTTTTTTTAATTATTATTATTATCATCAAAAATATTTGTAATATAAAATACATAAATACACACACATACATACACACACATTAGTACTACATACATTGGAAAAAATGAAATTAAAATTTGAAGAAAAATTTGTAATAGTTTCAATAAATTCAATGATATAATTATTTTTAGTTTTTATACAATCAATTTGTTTTACAACGTATGTTTTTTTTTCTGAAATAAAAAATAAAAAAATAAAAAAAATTCCTTTGCTTTAGAATTAATTGAAAACAAAAAAAAAAAAAGATAAAATTTGATTTAACATGAGAGATACCTTTCGATACGAAAAAATGTTATTTATTTATTTATTTATTTATAAAAGGAATAAACAAAACAAAAATACTCAAAGAGAGGTAGACAATTTTTATTTAAAGAAAAAACAAAATCAAAAATAAAAGATAAAAGAGAATTTTGGTTGCACGATAGATTAAGTGTGTAGCTATAATCTGACGTCAATACGTATATCGTACTTATATGTATATATATATATGTAGTTCAAAGCAGTTCGTTGATCTATTAATAACGTGCATGGATGCACGCAATATGCCCAATAAGAGACAGTGTACATAATAATACATAGGTATACATATAGGTAAAAGGTTCATATGTTTAATTTTATACATGATTATATGTATATGATATTTACATATTAAATAGATTAGTATTTACACAAAACACACTCACACACACACACACACACAGAAACAAATATAATCTTAAATATATTATTTATAATTTACAATATGTAATTTCATTTTGATTCATTTGCTAGGAAAAAGAGGAATCAATGATATTTTCATATATATATGAAATATACGGCCATTTCGCCATACACACGTCTTTAAGTCAACGAATTACCTTCTACCGCCATCTATTAAAATCTTATCGAACTAACAGAGACACTCATGACTCTTTGTTAATAAACAAATAATATTGCGATTATAAATTGAGATATAAACTATCCTATCTTTCAAGTTGGATGATACTGCACACAGTGTGCAAAATTTTATTAAAATCGGTTCAGTA